AGGACAATATTCTGCCAGTATATATTTCATCTCTCTGCCTGCCATAATTTAGGCACTCCTTCCTTTTCCTTTCATCTGCTTTTTGTTCCTACAAAAACATGCAAGAGCTGAGCCAAAACACTCATAGTTCACCCCAACCCTAAAGGAGTAGCTCTGGAAATGACTCAGCGAATCTGTAATTTGGGATTAACCTCGCTACTACTTCTTATCTGTCTATACACCAATGATTCAAACAAATTGTGTGGCCATTTTTAAAATGTGAAAAAGCATGTCTTACCATCCATATCCAAAATTAATTTGTAACGGCAGGATAAATACAAACTACCAATGCACAAGTTTATAGGCTGATGACCCATAAACATCTCATTGTGCCACTTCATTTTCCAATTAATTACTGAAATGAAAATGCAATCCAAATGTACTATAAATATASTCTGGTGAGGATATCGACTGTCACCAGAAGATGTGAATGACAAAACTTGAAGTAGTCACAAGAATGGGAAACTTGAAGTAGGCACAAGATGAGAAAATTTAAGAATGAGAAAACTTGAAGTAGACGCAAGTATTAAAACTGCAGTGTGATTCAATAATGTAGCTAATAAATCAAATTTGTAGCTAAATTAAGTTGTTCAATTCTACAAAACATTTGCCTGACCCACCATGTTTACCAGAATTCAGGCAAAAATAAGTCATGATATAATGTGATCTTTCTCTACAAATATACCTTGCTTTGTGTAAGGCATTGTTTATAAGTTATACCTAAAAATCTTTCTTTTAAGTCAAATCATGCATCGATTAAACTAGAGGAAAACTCCCAACAGAAATCTTAAAAACATTTGACAAAATTCAAGATCCTTTCATGGTAAAAATAATTTCAATTGTAGAAGGAATGTACCTCAATACAATAAAGGCTAATATGACAAACCTGTAGGTAATACTATCCTCAATAGTAAAAACTTGAAAGCTTTTCCTCTAAGATGCTCACTCTCGCCACTTCTTTTCAACATAGTATTGGAAATCCCTGCCAGAGAAATTAGGCAAAAGAAATAAAAGCCATCCTAATAGGAAAGGAAGAAGAAAATTGTGTCTATTTGCTGATGGCATCATTTTATGTATAGGAAACCCAAGTATCCACCAAAACACCTGCAGACCTGATAAGCAAATTCGGTAAAATTGCAGGACACAAAAATCAACATACAAAAATCAGCAGCACTTCTATAAACTAATAATAAACTAACCAAGAAGGAAACATAAAAAAATTAAGCACTTAAGCACGTATAAATTTAATCTAGGAGGTCAAAGACTTATATCCTGAAATTTATAAAACACTGATGAAAGCAATCGAAGAAAATTCAAATAAGCTGAAAGATGTTCTGTGTTCATGGATTGAAGAATTAATATTGTGAAAATGTCCATGTCCACCCAAAGCAATCTAAAGATTCAATGCAATCTTTATTAAAATCCCAATGTCATTTTTCACATAAATGGAAAAACATATCTATATATCCTTAAGTCCATATGGAACCACAGAAGACCCTGAGTAGCCAAATAATCTTCTACTAAAAAATAGAGCTAAAGGCATTACACTTCTCCAATTCAAAACATATTATAAAGCAGTTATCATCAAATAGCATGGTACTGGCCAAAGAAAAGAAAAAAAAAAAAAGACAGATTGATGAATGGAATGGAACAGAAACTCCAGAAATAGACCCAAACACTTAGGGTCAAATAATTTTTGACAAAGTTTTCAAGAACTTACAATGGGGACAGGACAGTCTTTTTAATAAATGGCATTGGGAAAACTAGATATCCACATGCAGAAGAATGAAAGATTTTTGTACCAAATACAAAAATCACATAAAATCTTCAAAATAGATTAATGACTTAAATATAAGACCTGAAACTATAAAATTATTAAAAGGAAAAATAGGGACAAGTTCTATAACACTGGTCTGGGCAGTGATTCTTTGGATCTAACCCTAAAAGCACAGCAACAAAAATAAACATAGAAAAATGGGATCATATCAAACTAGAAAGCCTCTACACAGCAAAGGAAATAGTGGAGAAAGTAGAGACAACACACAGAATGGGAGACAATATCTTCAAGTCAGACTTCTTATAAAAGGTTATTGTGCCAAGCATAAAAAGAATTTATAAAGTTGAAAACACTCTAAAGTGTTCAAACAACTCCACAGCAAGAAAACAGCCCAAATTTTAAAATGGGAAAAAGACTGAACAACATTTCTCAAAAGGTCTATAAATGGAATACAGGAACACAAACAAATGTTCAGCATCATTAATCGTTAGAGAAATGCAAATTGAGACTATAATGAGATGTCACCTCACACCTGGTAAGGTGATTTTATCAACAGGTTGCAAGATAAATGTTGGAGAGGATGTGGAGTAAAGGGAACTCATACAAAGTTGGTGGGAACATAAATTAGTATAGCCATTATGGAAGATGGTTCAGAAGTTCCTCAAAAAATTAAATATAGAATGATTATATGGCCCAGTAATCCTACTTCTGGATATACTTCCAAAGTAACTGAAATGAATATGTAGAAAGAATATCTGTACTACCACATTTATTTCATCATGTAGTCACAACAGCAGGGATTTGGACTTGATCTAAGTGACCATCCATGGATGAATGGAAAAAGGAAATGTGGAATATATAAAAGAGAGAATACTAGTCAACCATAAAAAAAGGGAATCCTTCATTTGCAACACCATGATAAAAATGAAGGATATTATATTAATTGAAATAAGTCAGATACAAAAAGACAAACGTCACATGATCTCACTTATCCACAGGCTCCATTCAAGTGGAAGTCACAGAAGTATACGGTAGAATACTGGTTATCAGAGGCTGGGATAGTGGGAAAGGAGAAAATGTGGAGTTGTTCCTTAAAGGGCACAAAATTTCAGACAGGAGGAATAGATTTTTGAGACCTTGATGACCATAATCAACAACAATGTACATCTCAAAATAACTAAGAAAGTGCACTCTAAATGTCTCATCATAAAAATATCATCAAGGTAAAATGTATGTTAATTAGCTTAATTTAATCATTCCACATTGTATACATAGATCAAAACATTTCATTGTACCCAACAAGTATATACAATTATAATTTGTCAGTCAAAAATAATAATATTCAAGAAAAATAAAAAATATACTAAAGTTCTTTAAATAAAGAGTCCTTTTATAAATGGAAGAATTATTTATTAAGTGAACCACCTGGCTAACTATTGTTTTGGTTTTTTGTTTTGTTTTGTTTTATTTTGTTTTGTTTTAGTTTAAGAAACAAAGTTTCCTTAAAATAGTGCACATAGTTACTTCTACAGCTCATTAAAATGTAATCACAAAATGGAAAAGTCATTAACTACCTCCCCACTGACCCATTACAGCCCCTGAAGACAAGTGTCATGGCCAATGACCCATCTCATGATAATAACACAACCAAAATATCTTTTTAAATGAGTTTCATCTCTTGCGGAGACCTGCATAGCCAAGGCCCCTCCAAAGCCATTGGGGAACAGCTGCTGTGGCTCTTGGCAACAGTGAGTGTAGGTTCGGTCAACTTGGTCCAGACACCAGCCAGCCAGGAGGCCTCCAGGAAGCAGGTGAATTGGCTTCTCCCTGCAGCCTCTTAACACAACCCAGAAAGCAGTAGCTTCCTATCCCTCCCCTCCCTCTTTCTAGTTCCATTTGCACTGAAAAGAACACTGGCTGCATTAGAAGCCAAGCTTCCGGAGTCAATTTTCAGCACTATGAGAAAAGGATTAGGCTGAAATGGAATCCAACAGGTAAATCCCCAAGTACAATATTGAAAATTTACTCCTTTGTGTCACTGCTAAAACCGGCAGCCTCTTCCACCACTGCTCAGAGCTAGCTGCACATAAACTCTATAGAGCAGCTCCCAAATAGAGGCAGGGGGGAAAACTCAGATGTTTTGAATGAAAAGTTCCACATTTATAAAAACCAATCACTTTAAGCTTCAACCCAAGGATAGGTAACACAAAAGAAGTGTAAGGTTTGGGGGGAGGTGGTTGTGGATTTGCGAGAGTGTGTGTGTATGTGTGTTGCTTTTTTGGTTTTTGATTTGTTTTCTTTAAGAAATGATTTCTTTCTCTCTTGAGTTCAAAGTGGTTTCAGAACCAAGATGCAGAAAATTAAGCCTCTTCCAAAAGGTTTAAAAGCTCAGGTTTAGTGCCGCCTCAGCAAACGCAGTGGATGTTATGCTTTGGAAATCAAAGGAGTGTCCAAGCACATCTGTACATTTTAAAGAGGTACATTTAAATGACCCGGAAAGATGTCTTATGTAATGTAGAAGAGCATACTATCCAGAATATGTTTAGGAGGGTTTGGTTAGAGGGTTGGTGAGTTTTGAGTGAGTAGGGAAGAGAATTATCTGATACATTTTTAGATACAAATAAAAATCACAGATTCATGCTACCACCCCCAACACAATGGGAAAAATTCTCAAGATAAAGGAACATTTATAAGCACTCAAGCAAAGTAGCATCAAGTCTGCATCAAGGGACACCATATTTATTTTTCAACGTGTCTTTTCAACATAAATATTGATTTCTTCCTGAACATAAGATACTAGCTTGGATTCAGGACCTGCTCAGACTTCATTCAACAAATGAGCCCGAGTAGGAAACGTCATACAATTCAGTAAAGGTCAAGAGGGAAGAATCTATTTTTATCTCCAATATTTAGATTTCACCCAGGCAACTCGGGGTCCCAGGGAATTATTGTTCCTGTCCCTCCTCTAACCCCTCACCCCCCAACCTTCTTCAGGCTTACTTGACTGATAACTGTATTAAACAAAAACAAATTGAGGGAAAGAAACACACATCATAATTCCAGAGCCAATGCCTCTTCCTCCTCCCAATCCACCCCTTTCCAGCCTGGCTGGAAAGCCCTTGGTCATTCAGAACTCTACTGAGTTGCCCCAGTCAACGCAGTTCCCCAGCACGTACTGACCCACCGTTCATGCCACTGTAGACATTCCGGTGATGGAGTGACGCGTCCTCCTGCGCCTGCCGTCTGAGGGTGCCCTCCCTGCTGCCTCCACCACTGCCTCCGCCTCCGTGTTTGTGATCAGGGCTCCCCCCAAAATGCTGTTTGAGATGCTCGGGGCTGGTGCCCCTGGCTCTGGGTAGGTGCTCCAGACTCCCACCAAGGGCATGTTTCTGAAGATGCTCGGGACTCCCTCCGCTGTGCCTGGCGTGTTCCGGGCTGCCCCCTGGCCTGTGCTTCTGGAAATGTTCTGGACTCCCGCTCAGCACGTGTTTGGGCAGCATTTCAGGACTGCTTCCAGGGTGTGGGTGCCTTTGCTGTTCCGGGCTACCCTTGCACAACGGTTTGTGGTGCTCGGGGCTGGGTCCTTTGAGTGCTTTGGGGTGATCTGGGGTCCCGGAGGCCCTGGGTTTCTGTAGATGTTCAGGGCTGGCGCTTCTGTGCTTGGAGTGCTCCGGGCTGCCCTCACTCCGGGGCTTCTGCAGGTGCTCAGGGCTGCCACCGCTTGCGTGGTGCTTGTGGTGGTCAGGGCTGTCAGTGCTGCCAGTGCTGGAGGTGCTGCTGCCATCGCCCACATCCCGCACATAGGCTGCGGTGGAGGCAGTGAGTTGGCACAGGCTGGCCTGGCTGTCAATGGAGCAGCGGCTGCCRGCGCAGCCCGCGCCCTTCTCCTCGTCCAGGAGCACGCAGAGYTCCTTGAGCTCCATGTTCTCCTTCACCACCTCCTCCTGCTTCACCTCCAGCTCCTTCAGCTTTTGCAGATATAAGGCCACTTCCTTGTGCATCACCCCAGCCGTGTAGCGGCCCAGTCTCTGCCACTCTCGGGACACCCTCTTGCCTTTCTGCCTGTCATCATCCAGGAAACAGCAGAGGTCCCTCAGTTCCTGGTTGTCCTCCTGGAGTTTCTGGTTGATGTCCTGAAAAGAGACAGAGAACCATTTTCTAGGGAGGTACACATAGGAGACCTCATTAGGCCAGACTTCCTGGGAGCCAGAGAATGTGGAAATGCTAAATTCTCCAGGATATTGCCAGAGGAGGTAAGAAGGTGAAAAGAAACTGAAGATTTTTCAGTATCCTTAAAAATTAAAAATAATAGGCATTGGTCATGTTTTCTGCACAATACTTTACTTGCATTATTTCATCTAATATTCACCTAAACACATAATGGATAATAATTATTATGGTTCTGAAGGGGACCCATAGATGGGAAAATGACTTCTCAAAGCTTAACTCATCCAAAGATCATCTAGACARTATTTAGAGAACAGCCAGTTAATTAACAGGGAACCAGTCAATAGAAAAACAAGGTTCCCCCTGCCCCACCCTCTAGAAAGAAAGATGGCTACTTGCCACCTACTAAACATTTAAAAACTCTGAGGCAGCAGGGCTTTCAACAGAGCAAGCGAAGGACTACTTAATTTTTAGCCCACAATATGGAATGAGCAACCCCAATCCCCCCACTAGGGAAAGGCACAATTGCCCTCTAGTGGCATTTCAGTCCTGCACATCCAACCCATTTGCCATACCCAAACAAATATCTCCCAAGCATCTGACACTTGAGCCTCAAGGACCTCTTGATACACAACACCCCTTCCCAAATTACACGTTTCAGCAAATCCCACCTCCACCTATGCTCTTCTTAAGAACCTGTAGTTATCCCTGGCATCTCCTCCCTCACCTTCTACTTCCAAGCCAAACAAGTTTTGGGACTTGATTTCCAAAATTAAGTACATCTAGTCACTCCTGTGTTTAAAAAAACAAAACAAACAAACAAAAAACCTTTGAGTAGCTTCTCATTGCCTTTAGGATAACAACGTGCAAGATCCTTCAATTCTCACAAGATCCCAAATGCTATGACTTGCTCTACTTCTCCAGCATAGATGGTGATCCATTTGTTCATTCACAAAGATGTAGTAAGCATCTATTATGTGCCAGAAACCAGCCCAAGTGGTATGGATATATGGATATATCAGTAGAGGTAGCAGACACCTTCACATCCCCCAGTTTTCATTCTGGTGGAAAAGAATAGGAAACACACACACACACACACACACACACACACACACACAAGCAAAGCACACAATGGCTCATAATGAAAGAATCTGGGGTAAAAACTAAAGCAGATTAAAAATCAAATCACTACTTTTCAAGAGAAGGTGTCCCTACAGGAAAGGGAAACATTTAAAGCAAAGACCTCAGTGAAATGAAAGAGCAAACATGTCAGTGAAGCTGATCCCAGGCAGAGACAAGGCAAGTACAAAAGCCCCTGAAAGGACATGACAGCAAAAGGACATGACATCCCAAGTCACAGGGAAGCCACTATGTAAAGCACAGAGATAAGGAAGGTCTGAGGTGTCAGGGGCTGAATAGTGGTCAGACTTTGGGTTGTTGAAGAGCTGAGAGTAGAGGAATGACATATGATTCATTTTGTGAAGAACCACCATAGTTCAGTGTAAAAAAGCAGCCAGCTGGGGTGGGGAGGGGAGAGCAGGGAGGGAGACAGGACAAAATGGCCACCAGACCAGCAAGGAGACTACTAGGCTGGTCCAGGCGAGAGATGATGATAGCTTGGATAGGTGGCTAGCAGGGCAGAAGGTGAGCATCACACATCACATGGAGCACTCCCAACCTACCAAAGGGAAAGGCCTTCTCCTTTTTTCACTTGCAATGCTTTCTTTCCCCAGCCTTCTACACAGCCATCAGGGTTCATTTTATGTCACCCCCCCCATAGAAGGCATTCTGAAGAAGGGCCACCCCAATATAAAGGAGGTCCACCTCTATGTTCTATATCACCCCTTAGACTTCGCCTCTGTCATACTTATTACAATACTGCCATGTATGCCTGCTAATTCAAGTCTCCACCCTCACTAGAGTCATGAGAATCGGAACCTCATCTATTCCACTCCCCTGTGCATCCAGAATGCAGTACACCCATTGTAGGTACCCCAAACTAAGAAATTTAAAAATGCATTGTGCCATTCCCACTTGCTCTCCATTCACACATATAGTGAAAGAAGCACCAGGGTTTGGAAGAAATGATATACAGGCAGCTGTGGGACTGCTACCTAAGAGTTACCCTGTTTTTCCAAGCCTGAAATCCTCTGGTCTTGCAATTTCATCATCCAATCCAGAACCTGAGGTTCTCAGGGGACTTCCTTCTTTTAAACTGAGGTTTATTCCCATACTTCCCCTGATATTGACGAGTAAATACACTTGAAAACATCTTCCAACCATATCCTTCACTTCCTGACATTAACAAGGCCTAAGATGAAAGGGAATTTTGAGGCTTGAGGAAGAAGCCTATGCAGCTTCGTTTCTAACTCCAGTTGTAACTCTTGGCGGTACCAACAACTCCATTTCCTTGTTTCCAATGCCGGCCTCTTCCTTTTGCTTCCCATGGCCCCTTTATGACTAGGACCTGACCCTTTGCCAACAGTTTCCCAGCTGGCCTTTCTGCCTTAGTTTTCCCTCCCCCGCTCCAAWCCAAGCACTCCTTGGCCTGCTGAACCAGACTGATCTTCAACTCCAAAAACATTTCCTGAATGTTTTGCTTCTGCTGCTGACCAACCCCCAACACCTTCCCTTTGCCAAGAAGTGAAAAAACTCCTGGGCCAAGCCTAAAAGGATTTTTCTGCCTTTCCACCTTTAGCTCCTTCTGTCAACTAGTTTTGAACCCTGAGAATACCATGCATTCCAGCTAGAAATATCACCTTCCTGCCTGTATGAACTTATTTCGAAGGATAGATTTCTCTGAGAAGTCTCCCCCTGCATGGAACACCACCCATAAATAAATGAATGAAGTAACATCCCACCTGTTGTTAATGCCTGAAACACACTTTAGCATTCATTGGGCATCAGTTATCTCCTTTCTCATATAGACATAATAGCTTCTAGAAGGCAGAGGAGAAGTCTGATGTCTTTTTTTTTGGGGGGGGGGGACATTTGCAACATATTTATTATGGTGCCTTGAATATAGTGGGTGTTTAATATGTGTTTAATACGTGTTCTTGGATTGATAAACCCTTTAAAAGCCCTAGGCTTGGGACCAAAAAAGTCTACGGCAACCCTACTATTGTATACAACTAAAATGAGCTAATAAAAATAAAGAAATAAATACATTTTTTAATGGGGGAAAAAAAGGCTACAGCTGTAGCTACTGAAAAAGGGCTTCTTACAAATTGTTTTCAGTGAGCCCTGCCATGTTGGAGTCCACAATAGTAAGAGGATAAATTATCCCTTGATGCAGATGCTTTAAAGAAAATCAGAAGCTGTGGATATTCAGAGAAAATAATACTAAACAAAATTAATCTTTCTAAGCTTCAAAAAATTATTCACCATTTAGTTTAATCCTGGCATTTGATAGAAAGTTCAAGTCATGTTCTTCTTCATCTGAATGAATCTACGTCTGAAAACACTTCCTTTTGACTATCCCCACAGCTACTCCTGATTTCTCTAGAACGGGGATGCAAACTGGAATTCCAAAGGCTTCTCAGTTAATGTCCTCTCTAATTAATGTCTTCTCCAAAGAACCTAAAACAGGCCTTTCTCAGTATTCCAGGAAGGTGGATGGGAGCAGGTATGGGCCCATTTACTTTCCTTTATCACAGTTCCTTCCATTATTAATTTTCTCTGGAATATTATTTAGTTACTAATTTGGGGATCTTTCCTTCACCCTCTGATACCCAGCTAAGCAACCAGCTTGATAATAACCTTATGAGCTGGTTCTTCAAATCTTCCTCATTAAGATTTGGAATTTCAAGTTATAGTAGATGGGGTAGAGAGAGATGATGGGAGGGGAGGGGAGGGGAGGGGGGATAGGAAGGGGATAGGAAGGGCAGCAGAATACAACAGATACTAGTATGACAGTATGTATAAACGTGATTGTATAACCAATGTGATCCTGCAATCTGTACACGTGGGAAAAATAAAAATTCATACCCCATTTGAATCAAATGTATGATATATGATATGTCAAGATCATTGTAATGTTTTGAGCAACTAATAAAAAAAAAAAACTTGGAATTTCTTTTTCCAAACCTAAGTGTTCTTCTGACATCACCATAGTCCAATAGATGTTATCCCAGTGACTAAAGTGGACTTTTAAACCTTGAAGTCCATCTCCTAGAATACCACCCAAATTTTCAATCTTCTGCCTGCAGACTATGAAGAACTATATCTATGATTAAAGAAATGTTCTAATTTGTTCTTTATTCTTACTGCAGGACTAGGGGAAGGGTTTGATGTGTTAGGGAGCAAGTAGAGAAATTAATGAAATTCAGACAACAAATCCACAGAGATCCAGTTGCCCCAGAATCATCCCCCCACCAGGATTCTGGGCCAGAGTAACCTGAAGGTTGATATATGTTCAATAATCCAAAGAAATGTTTCTCAGGAATCCAGCACCCTAATCTCCTTTCTCCATCCCTTTTGAGTTCACACATTCTAATCAAAGAATGTCAACTACCCAAGGAAGAAGAAAGTAGACCTATTTCCAACATTTTAATCTGTGTGACTTTGAGAAAGCTAACTAGGCTCATTGAGCTTCTGCATCTGGGTATCACTTACTCTCCACAAAACAGTATGGAATCAAAATCCCTATTGAGCAGATGAGAAAAAGACTCAGAGAGGTTAACAGTTTGCTCATGCTGACCAAATCATATAGCTGCAGTCCTATGTACTAGCCTTAAAAATATTTAGATATAATGTCAATGTCAGTTCACAGAAAGGGGCACAGCAAAGAGTTGTGACCTTCATTGTCTTACCTTTACATCTCTCAATGCAGAGTATCCCAACCATCAGAGGCCCAAATATAAAATCTCTTTTTCTTATGGTTAAGACAAAATAAATAAATATACCTACCATTAATTCAGTCAATCATGTTTCTTTCTGATTGCTGCAGTGTCTAAGGAAGCTCTGAGGCCAAATGCTGAAGAGAAGGGAGAATATTTATCTCTCAGCAGAGCCTTAACCCCATGGCACCCTCAGGCCACCTCCTGAATTTGCCCAGGGCTGACATCAAAAGAGTATACTCTGCCACAGAAAGTAACCACCTCCATCATTTCTGAACTTGATAGAGATAGGCTAGGGAGTCTTTTAATGCCAGGTCATGAATCTAGGCCACAGGGAAACTTTCTTACCTGGTTGCCACTGCTTTTAACTGGCCTAACAGCTGTTTCTCTAAATGAGGCTCCTGGAGTAAAGAACAGGCAGCCCACCACCCAGACCACCCCCTCTCCACTCACACCTAGACCCTCATACATAGTCAAGTCCACACAACCTAAAAGAATGTTGAAGAATTTCTTAAGCTATTGTGTTTATTTTTCATAGCATTAAATATTCAGGAAATTAATTGATTAACTAATTTAAAACTTTCCCAAGCCACATCATGGTTCAAATCTTGGAAGATTAAATTGGAGGGAGAATTAATACCACTGTCTAGCTTTGCCTAAGAAACCCAGACCTGGAAATTAATGACTATGCATGTATATGTCCTCTCCTGATGACTCTAACCACCATATTTTGCAGTCAAGTCCAGTATTAAGCCTTTCCCTGTGTGATCATAACTTACTGTCACAACACCATAGGAAATKATTCTTATCATTTGCATTTTATTGATGAATAAAATAAAGATCTGACAAATTAATTAGCCAAGCTCACCTTTCTGGCAGATGCAGACTCTAGATTCAAATCCACCTCTGATATTCCTTCTCACTATTTTAGCCTACTTCTATTCCCCAAAGTGCCTGGTTCTTAATAAATACTCCATTAGTAATGAATTAAAATAAAGAAGACAGCAAACCTTGGGATTTCTCTAACCATGGAATCTTCCTTATTACACCCTCTCTAGGGACTATATGACAGTGGGTTTGGGTCTCTGGGAAGGGCCATTTTCACCCACACTGACTTTAGCACACAGGTGAGTCTTGGGCACCCCGCCCCTCCCACCCCTCTTTGCCCCAAAATCCCAGGGCATGAGGCAATTAACCGAACAGAGTCCACTGCCTGAGAAGTGGGGTGGAAGTGGAAAGGGACAAGAACAGCTTGTGCCTGCGGGAATCTGCTCCCTGAGGTCTCTACAGTGATTTCGTTTGTGTCTGGCTTCCTATAAACAAAAGCAGAACAATGAGAGGAAGGAATACCAGGAGGCACCAGGCAAGCCCTGAGGAGAGGAAGTTTGCAGTGCATGCCGGCAGGGCGGTTCCCGGTCACCCTGCCACCAGGTCTGCTACAGCCTAGTGAGCATGCTGCTGGCACACACACAGATTTCCAAGGAGAAAAGTTAGGTTAGTGGGGCTTGGGGATTCCCCCCTCCTTTTGCTAAGGGCAGAAAGATGACGGGCTCAAAAAGAAACCATTACTGCCCGACACTTGGGTACCCTTTCAAAACCTTGAAAAGGACTTCAAGCTCCATATTGAGTCCTTTGCTCCCTCCCTCTCCTTTACACGCTGGATAAAATTTAAATCAAACTAGGGATGAACTGGGGAGGGGAGTAAGGCAACTCCAGGTGACGTTAGCCGAAGTGGAGGTGAGAACACAAAAGCTAGGAGTCTACTTGAAGGCAGAACTTAAGATCCTCTGCACCCGGTAACACACACGCAGTCTCCAAGGGTGGCGCCCGCGTCTCCTCTCTGGACACCCCCACCCCCCACCCCTCACCCCTTCTCCTGGCAGTGGTGCCCTTTCATCGCCCTCTGCTCAGCAGAGAGCTGGTGGCGCCAGGGCAGCCATATCCCTGACCCCCGAAGTCTTAGCTGCCCTGATCTTTCTCCTTTGCTCTCCTTTCCCCCTGGTTGGCCATAACCCGGCTCCCCAAAGCACCGACTTTACAGGGTCCTTTGGAAATTAAAGGTTTTGCGTGCCCATCAGGTCCCCACCCCGCCCCGATTTTCAGCATTCGAGGCKCCTTCTCCACTGGCTTCGAAGGACCCTAGAGAGCTCGACGCTGGCGCGCCCCAAATGGAGAAAACGAGGCAAGCAAAAGCCTCCAAAGTTTGAAAAACTTTCCTAAGGGCTGAGGATGAGGGTGAAGGGTGCTGACTGGGAGAAAGGGGAGAATCGCCTGTTGAAGGAGCGAGGGAAAGTTTGCCTTCCCCCCCTCCCCAGTGCACCCCGCTCCCCGTTTGACCCTGCGCTCACCTTGAGCCCGCGGATTTCTCCGAGATGCAGCTGCAGGCGACGGTTCACCTCACGGATGAGGTTGCTGTGGTCCAGCATCGCGCTCACCTTCTCTGCCTCGGCGCGCCGCAAGCTGCGGATCAGCTCCTCCTTGCTCCACTGCAGCAGCTCTTCGTCTGATACTTTGGACAGATCCTCCACCGCGGCGGCGGGGGACGAACCAGCCGGGGCTGGGGGACAACTTTCTGTCGCCGCCCCTGTGCTTCCAGCAGCCTTCGACATGGTCTGGCGCGGTGGCAGGTGCGAGTAGGTGGAAGAGGCAAAGCGACTCGCGAAGACGCGGGCGAAGCGGGGCCGCCTCCGCCCACACGCCTGTGCGCTCTGGAGAGTCAGCGGCACCGCCCGGGGACCGCTGCGTTGGGGCGGCGGTGGTCGCGCTGGGCGTCCATCCTACCTTGCCATCCCCTTGCGCGCACCCGCGATGCCCCAGGGCTGGGCAGTCAACTGCGGGTTGGTGCTTTGGCCGGTTTCAACTCCGCGCAAGTCCATGGTGAGCGACGTCAGGGAGCCGGCTCCCACGCGGGAAAACCTTGAGTACCGGCGGGGGCATCCAGGGGGCTGCGCCCTCGAATCCCCTGCCCTCTCCTCCTCCCTACACCTCTCTCTCTCTCTCTCTCTCTCTCTCTCTCTCTCTCTCTCTCTCTCTCTCTCTCTCCCACACACACACACACACACACACACACACACACTCACACGCACTTGCTCCCCCTTTCCCGGCTGCAGCCCCTGGGGTCCTCTTCTTTCCTAGCTGTGCAGGGTGCGCCGGGCTCCGCGGCGCCTCCCGGACTGCTCTAGCACGCCGTCGCCGCTGCCCGAAGGCTCGGCGCGGCTGGCCGGCTGTGCTCCTCCTGCTGCCTGCGCTGCGCCTGCCGCTGCTCCAAGGCTGCTCCGGGAAGCCTTGCAAAGCAGAGCTGAGATGGGGAGGGTGGGGGGCCGGCAGGAGGAGGAGCCTAGAGCCGGGGACCTCCGCAGCCCGCAGCAGCTCTCCCGCGGGCCAGAAGCTACTGCCGCCCGACTGTCACCCAGGTCCCAGAGAAGCGCTCCTCGCTATCCCACCCGGGAAGGCTGGGGGCGCGCCTCCTGGTGCGCTGGGGTGCGGGTGGGGTTGATATAAAAGAGCAGGTGCGGAGCTGTGGTCGCCTGGGCTTTGAGAGGCTCGCGCGCGCCACCCTGTGACCAAAGGCGCTCCCTCCTCAGCCCCCAGCAGGACAGGCTTGTCACCAGGCAGGGAAACGGCTGCCAATCAAAGGAGAGGTGCTTGGTATTTGAAGGGACTGGGGATCAGGAAAAATGGGATAGCAGGACCTGAGGAATAACCGACCCCCATGTGCACTTTGGAGAATAGGAGAAAAAGTAAGGAAAAAAAAAGGAGGGAGAGGTAAGAAAACCCTAATGCTCTGGAAAGGGGAAAAAGAGGCTTCCAGGTACTGCTCTTTAGGGACCACTCACCCCCAGGCCTTTGTCTTTTCTAAAATCCACTACTTTGTGAAGAGGCTTCAGGGGAAAGTACTGGATCTTTTAAATTTTTACTTGAAAAACATCAAAGCCTTTAGGAGACAATAAAATACCTTTATCCTATGCCTCCTGAAGCCTGGATTTTAAGGTTAGCAGTCACCTGCCCTCAGAGCAAAGCAAGGTCCCCTTAGGCAATCTGAAATGCCAGCCAAGGAGATTTCCGTTTTCTTCTGCCGCAGGGTTAACGAGGACGGCTTTTTAGAAGGAAACTCTGCATCTCTGGGTTCTGTCTTTGGATTACCCAATGGCACAGTGGGGTGAAACCAACTTTGAGCTGAAAATATGATTTTTGCCTAAAGAAGCAGATGCTGTTGGCCCTGAGAATGTCATTTCTGGGATGGAGATAGGGTCAGAAAACTGTAGGGGTCTGTCTTTCTCTCCAACCTCGCCCCACCCCGCTTTCATGCACATGTGGACACACACACACACACACACATACACACACACACACACACACACAGTTTCAGTTAACCTGGGTGCAGAGGGAACCATCTCTATCTGGTAGGTTGAGGATCTAAATCAGAGTTCTTCCACAGGCTGGTTAACGTCCATCCCTGATAAAGCTGCTACCTGTTAAAGGTGATCAGTTGGGGGCTGAGACCTGAGACCTGGCTTTCTGGAGAACAAGGAAAGGTGATATTTGCTGCCCTCTCACCTTCACATTCCCCTCAGCTTGACTAGACACAGATCTCTTCCTAACTATAGACTCTTGACCTCCTTTTTCTCAGAGCATTTACTTTAGTGGACTTTTAATTATAAATCCTCTCTCTGACCCATTGCAATCTAACTCTTTTCCCCACTTCTTGTTGATTTGGGTTTTACAACCCCCTAACATCCTTCTCAATGATTTCAAGACTAGCATTGGAAGGCACTTATCATGACAGATCCTGTCTCCCAGGGTCTGTGGAGGGCAGGAGCCTAATTGCAACAAGCTCTGGTTGGCAATTGCAGGTGGCCTCCTCACATTGACCAACCTCCCACCCCAATGTTCTCTGGTACTTTTCCACTAGCTCACCTTAGTGCTTAACAACCCCCACCCTTTTGTCTCAGTAGAGTTTATTCAGTCTGTCTTTCAGTCCTCTTGAATAAAGTCTTCCTTGCCTGTTTAACCATGTCTGATGCAATCTTTCTTTGACACTTCCCTTTCCCTCATGCCCACAGAAGGTTCTCCTCACATAGTTTCCTACACCAGTTTTGGCACAAGAAGGGAAATTCAAGTCAGAAAAATATGAGTCCTGCCTCTGTTAACTTGTAAGTTTTTGCCCATGAACAAATCATCCAACCTTGCTGGGCTTCAGGCTGCTAATGAGATGAAATCTGTGAAGTTCTTTATGGAGATAACTCTACAGAAATGCAACCCTATTGTTGCTCATGTTATAGCTGGGCAGTCCTCTGTTTGGAAATGGGAACCATCACTTATATTTATTCCTCCATCCTCCATTTGTTCTTCAGGAGTCCTATTCTAAATTGAAACAGCCAGGGCTATTATGGTTTAGATATGGGGTGTTCCCCAAAAGCTCCTGTGAAAGATAAGGCAAGAATGTTCAAAAGTGAAAAAATTAGATTCTGAAAGCTTTGACCTAATCAGTGGATTAACAAGTGTCCATTAACTGGGTAGTAACTGTAGGCAGGTAGGGTATGGCTGGAGGAAGTTGATCACTAGAGTGTCTTTGGGTTTTATATTTTACCCTGGGGAGCAGAACTAGTTCACTCTCTCTCTCTCTGCTTCCTGACTACCATGTCCTGAGCTACTTTCCTCTTTCATGCCTTTCCTCCATGATTCTCTGCCTCATCTTGGGTACAGAGCAATGGAGTTGGCCAACCAAGACACTGTTCTTGTCAGGTCTTTTGATCACACAGACAAAAAGCTGACTAAAACAAGTGCTTTCTCTGCTAACTCCTTCAAATCACTTAACATCTAAGAAGACATTAGAAGGCAAATAGATGGCTTGAAGGAGAATTTGGACTTGTGTTGGGAGGATAAGGAAGAAGAAAACCAAAGAAAAACTTCTCCACAAATTTCCAAACACTTTTGAGGTAGAGTATCTTAGTGAAGTTTTAATGTTTCTAATTTTGTCATTGATTAGGGACTATTATTTAGTGAATACTATTGCTTTAAGTTTCTAAGGCACTATGTGGTATCAGGGTATAGAAACTCAAAGCAGTCACCTAAAGAAGGTCTGGGTTTTCACTCATATGCTGGTATTTTAAAGATTGGCAGTTGAGGGCTAGCATGGGGTCATTCAGAATGTCATCAAAGGTAGAATCCTTCTCTCTGCTCAGCCATCTTTGGCCTGGTTACCTTGAAATGACTGCTAGAGCTCCAGCAAGCCATCTTTAAGGTGGAAGCATGTGAACAAAGGGCACATTACCCTTTTAAAAGTCCTGGTAGTATGACCCATTGAAACGCATTCATATCCATTTATATCCTGACAACCAGAGCTTGCCAAGAATCTATGACTATTTTATTAATTTGGACATATTAATATCACAAGTAAAATCAGAGAAGAAAATAATACTAGGTAGGCAACAACTGTTGCTAATGCCAACCTGGACTCTCCAATTTAAATGGAGGTATCTGAAAAACAGTCGTAAGTCAGCCTAGGTCATTATTCCTAATAGTTTTATCACATATAGTGTTTTAAATCAACCCAACTTCATCCCACCTCACTATTGCCCAGTCCAGGTTTTCATGAGGTTTTATGTGATCTTCTTCACTGGTCCTTTCAACTCCAGCATCACCTTTCTCAGCTCTGCTTTCCATATGACTGCCCAAGTGAACTATCTGAAAAAGTCAAGTCTACCTGCCTCATCCCCAAGATAGACTAAATTATCACTCATGATCCTTCACAACCTCCCTATATTGTACCACCACTCTCCACCTGACTTTGTGGCACCTCCCACTCAAGGAGGAGAGTTGACCTTGCTTCCTCCCATGGTATGGTGCTAGGCCATGTGACGTGCTTTAGCAATGGAATGTGGCTGCCTATGGTTATTAGGATATTAGGTGATGTTGGAGTCATACATAACTTCCTGGCCAGGTTTGGTCTTTAGGATATGAATAGATATGAATGAGATTCACTGGGTCATATTACCAGGACTTCTAAAAGAGGAATGTGCCCTTTTTTCTTGTGTTTCTACCTTCTTCCTGTATCTAATGAAGATGGGTGGCTGGAGCTCCAGCAGTCATTTTATGATGGTATGACTATTCTCTGAAGTCTCAAGAGGCATTTGTCTGTCCACTCACCCACCTGTACTTTCACACTTCAATGAGAGAAGAGCTAATGTTGGGTAGATGCTCTTCCTTTGGTCTGGGACCCAGACTCAGCCACATCTTCTGCTAACCTGAGAACTGCAGCCTGGATCAGAGCCATGCCCACAGACTCACAGGTCTGTGTGCAAGAATACATGATTACTGTTTATTTATTCTTGTTGGGGAGGTTCATTTCGTGGCATTATTAATGTGGTAGTTAGCAGATACAACCCCTGCCTAAGACCTCCTGCTGTCATCTCAGCACCTCTCCTTAGAGTGAAGTCACATTTCTTAGCAGAGCACATGAGATGGGCATGTGCCTTTTCCTGCTTCTCTAGCTCCACCTCCCACCTCATGCCTTGTCTCATCTTTCATATTTTTCCAGTTTTCATATTCTCCACTGATGGGATTCTCTCATGTATGGAAAGCCTTCCCTGCCTTTTTCTTGAACAACTCCCATTGGACCTCTCCACTGTCAGTACCTCATTCAGATTCCTAGCACTGGCCCATCCTTATCTCCACTCCCACAATCTCCAGCCCACACCTCTAGCCGAGAACTTAAACAATTAAATTGCAGGTGGTCTCCAACTTAACAATAATTGGATTTACAAGTTTTCAAGTTTGTGACAAAGCAAAAGCAATAGAAATTTAGTGGAAATCGTACTTTTTTTTTTTTTTTTTTTGTACCAGGGATTGAACCCAGAGAGATTTAACCACCAAGCCACATCCTCAGCTCTTTTTTATATTACATTAGAGACAGGGTCTCACTGAGTTGCTTAGGGCCTCGCTAAATTGCTGAGGCTAGGTTTGAACTCACAATCCTCCTGCCTCAACCTCCCAAGTCGCTGGGATTACAAGCATGTGCCACCACGCCTGGCTGTACTTTGAATTTTGATCTTTTCCTGAGCTAGTGATATGCAGTGGGACACTATGAGAGCCAAAGCATCCAGTCAGCACAGTTACAGAGAGAATCCACTGAAGCACTGCAGGGAACTGTGTGGCTAAATTCTGATATTCAGCACTTTAATTGTATCAAATATATTTTTTTAGTTACTTGTTTTTAACTTATGGTGGGTTTGTTGAGGTGTAACCCCATCATAAGTTGAGAAGCACCCATATAGAAAATTATATGCTGAGGCTCAGACTAATCCTGTCCAACAAAAGAGTTTCATTTCAGCTCTGACTTAATAGTCTTTCTCTCTCTGTTTTCTCTACACCATACAGATTTTTGTCAAGCCCTACAGAACTCCATGGTGCAATTGGGGACACTTTTGAGAACACCACTTTTATTGCAGCCC